ACAAGGTGCACACCTGCATTTTCGGGTAAAATAGGAAATGACATTAGGTGGACAACTGACTGCTTGCATTTGTCATCCAAATTACTGCCACCGACTGCTAGTTGCGTTGACTATGTCTGGTAGAAAACTTTTCCATGACAGTAATGGTCGGACGTTTAAACGTAACAAATTAAATTCGTTAGAGAGATTTTCCTAGACATTTAAACAGAACAAACTATTGAAGGTTTCGCAAAGTTCAATTGATGCAATCTAGGTTAATTTTTATTTTCAAAGATGCTACAAAAGTCGACACTTCAGGAACTCTTGACAACTCGTCTAAACCCTTAAGCACCCTTCCCAAGATTCAATTTGTCTAAACATTGAACAAAAATTTTGGCGGTTTTAATACTTACTATCATGATTTTAATTGACTTAGACGCCAATACACCAAAATATACCTTGGGGCTAAATGATTATTTACAAATGGCTTGGCAAATCCCATAGATAAAAAAAATTCTAAAATAAGTCCACCCCAGCTTTGCAGGAAAATAAATATTCGGAGGAGTGATTGAAAGCTCTATTGTTCCGTTAGACACAATGAATCTTTTTAGGTATTTGGGTCATGAAGGCTATCTTTAGAGATGCAGCTATTCCTAAGAAGACCTGGGGGCAGATATCCTCAGCCAATTAATAAGTTTATTCTTTGCAAGTTAAAGCAGCCATTGGTAGGACACACGCAGTCCCAGAGTTATGCCACTGTTGCCAAGAAAGAGTATGACCATGGGAAATCCTGGGCCCCTTCAAGCACGCTGCCTGGACTCTGCCTGGCCACTAGCCAGACTTTGTTGTACAGCCCTGGATAAATTAAATAATGTTCCTTCACCTCCTTCTCTTTACATTAAATGATGGCAAATAGCATTTTCCAGGCCTTAAAGTTTTTCAACAACTTCTTCCACAAAACATTTAATCACCTTTTTGGAAGAAAAAATATTCTGCTAAACAGGCTAAATGAACATATTTCTCATAATTGTAACCACCTCCCCTCCATTATCTCTTTTTTTGGAAAGTAGTATGTCGTCAATAATAGCACACCCGCATACACTCGAACAACCATAAATGCTTTGTTGTTGAGCTACATACTGCACATGCATTAAGAACTTGTTGGGCAGAAACAGAGCTGACATGCAGCGGCTTTTATTTTTTTTGTGTTGGAGAAACGGTTAAATGGCAAATTAAAAAAGTTGCTAAATGCTAAGCAAATTAAACATAAATTCTTACCCTTAACCACTTCCTGCCGGGTACTCTGGGATCGGAGAGGTATGGTTTATATGGGTGGCCGGGGTGATGCACAAGTGTCATGGGATTGTTATTGAAATGCGCAAAGGTAGGAATATTCTTTTTGCTGGAGGTGATTAAAATCAAAGATTAAAAATCTTTAAAAAGAGCAGCCAGCTGGGGGCTGACATGTTTTTGCCTAGATCTCAATGACAAAACTCTGAAATGGTAGATAAATCTGTGAAGACAATGCGCTCTGATACCGAGGGATACAACCTGGAATGAAAATAACAATGTGCTTGGCAGGGCTCAAAATCCTTCCCCTAATCCTAGTGTGAAGAGTGCTGACACTGTAGTCACTGATGTTTTTTCTTCAAGTTGGGTATAGGCAGGCTCCACATATGGAATGAAAAAATGGTGTGATGGGCAAACCTCAGAGGCTGGAAGGATGTTTCTACTTGATAACAAACACCCCTCTCAAAACTTTATACAATGTATATCTTTTTGTTGATACGAAGCATGGTATTACTTTGTGGAATGCAACGTTTAAGTGCTCTACTTCTGACAATTGAAAAGAAATGTCTTAAGCAGAAGAGTGGCCCAACATTTAATATTTCCCACCATTCACTGTTTGCCAAGAATTTATTTCCTGTCCATGAACGGTTGCTAGAACACCATTCTTGTTTCGGGGACTTCACATTTTCTTTGCATAGGTTTTGTGCCACCACGAGGGGCCACAACATCTTGTTGTGTGCACAGACAGTGACGGGTCTTTTGTTGTAGAGGAACGCAAGGGAACGGGACAGCCTTTCTCACACGTGCAAAGTGGAGGTAGCTTGAACAAAAGAGTGTGTGGAATCACGCGTGCAAACAGTCAATGTATTGTTTAATTCCACGCATAAGTTGAAGAATTATTTTTATTCTCGAATGAATTTATTAAGTGCAAATTCAAATTTAAAAATAAACGTGTAAATGGGCGCCATCGTGTATTAGACAGACCGACGGAGCTGGATGTGAAGCCAGTGATGAAACTGGATCTAAGTTGGAAGTAAATTCAGCTACAAATCCGGGTGAGAATCTGGAAGGAGATCCTCACACATGGCATGCGGGGAGTGGAAATTGACTGTTACGTCGGTATGCTAAAGTGGGCAGCATCTCCGAGAGAGCGGACCACCGTCATCAAACCCGATGAAGAAATATCTTGTCCAGGTGTAGAGCAGGATTTCTTGCATTTATGCTCCTTATGTGCGGTGATCAGGCTGTAGAACCCGAAGGAAGAACTTACAAACTCGAGACGCAGCAGCATGTCTGGAACGCAGGTTGTGATAGGTCAAAGCGTGCTGAGCTACAAGAGAGCTGAAACAGAAACACTCTGGTCAGATAGCCCTACCCGGTAGCCAGACGCCGCAGTGACGAGTGGTGTATGAGAACTACTGCGATGATGCAGTTCTGTAACCCGAAAAGTTAGGTGGCGACTCTGAATGGGCCGCCCCGAAAACAACAGGCCATCGGCCCGAGGCGTTGTAACTTCCCAGTCACGCCTATAGTTCATGGCGTGTGACTGTCATTGTAGCTGGCCAGGGAGGCATGGGGCCGTCCCAGTGTGTAGGCTGGTGAGAAATATCGATGAATACACGTCTTCCATGGTAGGCACTGGTAGTAGGGAGACCGCCAGTGGACCTCAGAACACGGGAACTGGGGGTGAATGTCAGATGCCCAGACCCGGCTAACAGGGGAGTAAGTTTACTCACCCTGAGTGCAGTGCCAAACGAACAGAGCCACCATGATCCAAGGCATGATCCGGAGCCAGGTCTCACTGGGGGAATGATTCTAGCTGAAAAACAGAGACCACTTCAGCCTCCAAGTGAGGGCAGAGGGATGGCCGGGGGAGAATTCGGGAGGCCTTCGCTACTGGCTGAAGCTTGGAATATATCTTGCGGGCGAGAGAGGTGAAGACCTCCAAGAAGGACTGGAGGGTCGTCATCCCGGGGGTGAATCCTTATTAGAGCTGCAGTTCTTCTTAGCCTTGGATGAGGAAGAAGCCGAAAAAGATGTCTTGGCCTTGGGCTCCTTAACCTTCATTGGTGGGGGAGCTGGAGGCCGGGATGGCTGGAGATACAGCCGGGCGAGGGTCCCTCGAATGGTCAGTGGTATCCTGCGAGGAACATCCCAGGTCGGGATCAGTGGCCTCATGACTGGTGTCCATAGGCAGACTTGAGCTGCTGATGGGATGTGGCAGACAAAAGCCCCAGCGGCGTAACAGTCCAAGGGGGGTGATGTCATCCGATTTAACGGGGGGCTGAGCACCGTGCTGAATTGCAGACTCGCCCGTGCCAGAAGTGGTGGAGCGTGATGAACCAGCAGTGGAACCTGTTGCCCGCTTGAAGGAGGTTGACTGGCCCGAATTCCGAGCGGGTGCCGCTCGGTGAGCAGGAGCGGGTGAAGGGCCCGGGGCAGACGCTGGACCGTTGCCCCGCCGGCCCTGCGGTAGGGTCGTCTAGGGATGCGGTAGGTAGCGATGCCCGGAACCTGCGGCATGACTAGGGAATGGCTCTTTACTCCCTGACAATCACGACCAAGGGCACGCTTAACATGCTTAACCCAATCTGTAGGTGTAGAGTGGGCGTCAATGACCAAGGGTAGTGTTGTGGTCCAGCACACTCAGCCCAGTCGGTAGGTGTACGGAGCAGTCATCAGTGATCAAGGGCAGTGTTAGGGTACCACTCAATCAGACCGACCAATTCCGGTAGTCCTCATCAGTGATCAGGGTATTGTTGCGGCATAGCTCACTCAACCCGACCATGTAGAAAAAGGTCCGGGGTAGTGTTGTGGCATAGCTCACTCCACCCGGCCTATTCATTTCACTGGGTCTCTCCCTGTTAAGGCTGTTAATCTCAGATAACACAAAACTGCACCACAAAGGAGCGGGGCAGCCTGCCAAGCCATGTTGCATGGCCAGACCCATATAGTGTTGGGCCATTATTATTCGAATGCATACACCACATAGAGAACAAAGGGCCAGCAGCCCTTTTCAATGGCCATACACAACATACTACAGTAGGTCGCACCTAAACCTGTAGACAATGCACAGAAAAAAGAAAAGAGCAGAAAAGAAAAACAAAACATACGAAATACGAGATATGAAATACAAGAACAAGTACTCTTAACAATACTTAAGAAATCACTCTTTATTCTTAAACAGGAATCAAGTCAATTCACAAACGCGAAAGGTATGGAAAATGCCATAAAAAACACGTCCGTAAATGATAGATGTTGAGAAAAGAAGGACGAACATGGAGGCGGGACCACGGTGCATTGTGGGGGTCAAGGGGCAGTATGCATAATCAATTCTTTTCTGGGAATTGTAATAGGCACATGGGAAATTTGTATATGTAGGCTGGGCAGGGTTATATGAATGCAGGAGACAGTAAAAATTACACCTACATTGTACAAGTTGGCATTTCTGACAATGATATACATGTGCAGTTGTTTACCATGTCTGCCCTATCAAGTTTCAATCTTGTTTCTCTTATTTCCATAAAATTGGAGTCCAAATGAATGTAAAACATTACTGAAGCTTCAACTCAGGAAACAATGCATTGCCATTATCAACAATTTCAGTCAGTATAAATAATAATCTTGGCTCACTTGAATTCAAAAACACTGTTTGCCACTCATTTACATCAAAACTTTTTGAACTTAGAAAGGCAAGCTGTGCTGCATGGTTGAAGGCTTTCGAAACATACCGTTATGTCCTTTGATTGACCTTCAGTTTGTTGCGTGGCATCCTCTTTACGAGTCTCCTGTTCATCATAGTCACTATCTTTACACATCATCATGGCTGCATGGGCTGCTGCTCTCATCTATAAATGCAATATACACAAATAGGCCTGTAACACAACATCACATTTTTTAACCACTTGCCACCAGGGGCTCCGGTACGGGAGACACTGGCCTTATATTCGTGGCCGGGGTTTCTGAAATCGGAACTTTATTTTAAAAAAAGTTTCCGGCCTTTTTTAAAAACTTTATTGCTGTCAGTTAAAAAGTTTAGGCCATCATTGGAGGTCAATAAATTGCTCTTAGGCAATAATGGGTTGCTGGGGCCAGAGAATTGGGACTTTATTTTATAGCCAAGGTGACCGAACTTATAAAAGCCTATAATAAAATTACGAGCTGCTAAGAGCTGCTGAGAGCTGCCGGGCACTGCAAATCAATTCCCTTATTCTTTCAGCGCAGAGCGCTGACATTAGCGGAGGAAATCAGTGTATTGTATGTGTAGATCGCTATTGTTTGCGCAGCCGGGCACTCGCAGCGGATTATCACTGCACTGCACTGAAGACAAAGCGCGGGCTGTGCAGGCTCATTATGCACCTGTGCCCCATGAATGGCCCGACCCAGGCGCTGCTAGCCCTTGCCACGTTGACCAACAGGGCTCAGACCTCGCTGCTTGAGAATAAAATTGCTGTTCAGTGGCTACATGTGTGCATATTGGGTATCGTGTTATCAGAGCACAGACAACATGGCTGAAGTTATATCCGGAGAGTCCAGTTCTTCTAGTGAAAGCGAGTTTTATCTCAGTTCAGATGAAGGTTCCTCGTCTTCTTCATCACCACCATCACCTGCTCAAGTACAGTCAAGTACAAAAATTGACAGTGATGTACCCTCGGCGGTACACGCCAAACGCAAGAGACAGTCCCCTACACAGACCGCCACGTCGACCAGCAGCAGTGCCACACCATTCCAGTGGACAGATGAAGACAGTACAACACTGAAGTACGGCTTCACCGGTAATGGTGGTGCTGTTGATCTCCACTTGCATCGCAGCTCAACCTGCAGTGAAGCCTTTGAGCTGTTTTTTGATGATGTTCTCTACAACACGACAGTGCAAGACACCAACCAGTACGCGGTGCAGAGGTCCGCTACGACATCGGCACATATGCGATCATGGACTGACCTGAACGCTAGAGAATTGAAGGCCTTTCTGGGCCTTTGCATAATGACGGGCATTGCGAAGCACCCCACCCTTCATAGCTTCTGGTCCACCGACCCACAACTGAAGATGAGCCTATTCCCGTCAGTCATGCACCAAGATTGCTTCCTTGCCATCCTGCAGTCCCTGCACTTCAACAACAACACCGCCATGCCGGAGGACTGCGCTGACCACCTCTTCAATGTGCGCCCAGTCGTTGACCATCTTACTCAGAAGTTTGCCACTGTCTACGTTCCGCACATGCACGCACAGCAGCCTCCCGCAGCCCGCCGATGTGCGGCGCCGTGCGGCACTGGTAGAAAAAGTGCATAACAATGGTTCACGGCTGAACGAATTTTATGAAACACAGTCTGCCACGGCACGCTGCCACTGATTTGCCTTTTTTTATAGGAGGCAAATTCTGCACAAAGCTAAAACACATAAAAGAAAAGAAAAAGTTTATTATTGACTCATCGTTTTCGAAAAATCACGAAGGTTGTTGGGGGACATGCGGTCTGGACCTGCAGCTGATCCTAAAAGTAACACGCCTGCTTTTAAGAATATATTACAATGTAGGCCTAGCCTGTATCTACCATAATTTTCGGAGTGTAAGCAGCAGCTTTATACATGTATGATTCTCACAATGAAAAATATCCCTGGAGCTTATACTCTGGGCGGCTACTACCACAATATTTTAAGAATGAAATCTGTAATGCTGTGCTGTGCCATGCTTCTGAACCTCCCATCATACGTCCATGCTCCCATACAGCTTGTGCATACACGCAAAAGGTATAGTTTCGTGCTCTCCAGAAACAAGTCGTTCATGTTTTTGTTGGTTGCCATTTACAACTAGCCTACTCACGTATTGGAAATAAAGGAAACCAGCGCACAGAGACATAAAAGACTTGTAAATGTATCCGCGTTTGTGCAGTTTCACACCACTCAAATTGTGTCGTTTGTTTTTGTTATTTACAGCTTTGTAATCCATATTATTTATATTTACTGGTCAGTTGGTGACTGTTCCAAAACTTAGAACAAAAGAACTACTCCACAGTCCACCCAACAAGGACTGTATTCCACCCCACAGTTTAGGTTGAACAGGAACAATCATTCGCGATCGCGCACATTGGGTCGTGTCAATGAATAAAAACTGGCAAATGCTATGAAGTTTAAGCAATCAGCAAAAGCATTTTCAGGTAAAAAAGGAAATGACAAAGGGAGACCTTCCAGCAACTACACAAGTGTTGATGGACCTGGTGAGCGACCTAAACAGCAAGGGCTAAAACCTTGCCCTCGAGAGGGCGTTCAGAAGTCCCGATTTGTTTCGACAACTTCACAACCAGAAGTTCAATGTCGTCCGCACCGTCATAGCCAACAGAAAAGGGATGCCAAAAGACCTGCAGTCTGTAGGCTCTCCACCATGCATACAGCAGACATCCATGGCTCCGGCAAGCAAGACAGGACGGGGAGGAAAAGCAGAAACCAACCTGCGTCATCAAATACAATGCCCTGATGGGGGGCGTTGACAAAGGAGACCAACTAGCGGCAAATCATCGAGCTACTCATAAGTCCCTCAAGTTGTACAAGAAGCTCTTCTTCTACCTGCTCGACTTGACGCTGGTGAACAGCTACGCCGTGTACCTGGCTGTTGGTCACCACCTCTCCTTCCTCGACTACCGCTTGAGTCTGTTTTTGAGCTACTGTTCGATGAGCCCTCGCCCAAGTACTGCCCTCAGCACAATACTCCACCAATCACCAACTCCCGCTTCGTCGGCCGACACTTCCCTGTGGCCTTTGAATGGACCAGCTATGGCAACTTCCGCTACCAGCGGTGTGTCCTCTGCCTTCCCGTGGTCAGCGAAAGAAGACACACTACGAGTGCCACACATGCCACCAGCCCCTCTGCGTCGCCCCTTGTTTCAAGGAATATCATACTGTCAAGTTTCTGGAAAGTACTGCTTTGAGGATGTTGTATTTTCATCTCTTGAAAAAGTGGCAAATTTCCTTGTAATGGTTTTATTAATTGGTCATATTTTCAACCTTTAAAAAATGACCAAAAAAAGACAAAGTTTCTGGAAAGGACTGCTTGGGGATGTTTCATTTTCATCCCTTCCATTACCTTGCACTGGTGTTAGGAGTTTGCTCATTTTTGCCTTTGTTATGAGTTTTGTTTTCTATTTGATTAGAAAGAGTGGCAATTTATTTTACTACTTTTATGAGTTAAACTATTTCAATGAGCAATGAAAAGAAACCACAAGAGAAATGACAAGAAGAAAACAAGAGAAAAAGAAGTTCTCTCCAAATATTTGTCTGTGTGTATTTCTATGTGTACTTGATTTTATTGGTTTCTAGGATTTTACTTAAAATTGTTGGGAAATAAAGTTTTGGGGAGGAAAATATCCATTTTGAACTAAAACTTACACTGTGGGAGGGAAAATTAACAAGTTTGGAGATAAAATATGACAGTGGTTTGGGAAAAATATATAATTTTGCAGATGGGAAAATATATATCAGAAAAATCCCCACTGGCTTCAAAAAATAGCAAAAGTTAGATGCACCAGCACCGCAAAAAACCCGTACTTCTATACATCATTTTTTAAAGCATGATTCATTTGTCCGTAATGGCCCGCACTCATTGAACAGTTTACAAAGCCCAGTGCAAGTGGGCACAGCTTCCAATTCACTCACCGCATATTACACGCTGAAGTCTTGACCGTCAATCGCTCTGCATAGCACCACGGCAGTATAGCAACGCACTGGGCCAGGGCCCGGAACAAAAGAGCCCTTATGTAACACTACACAATGAAAGCTCTATATAGAGCGGGCGGCATGGCTGCAAAACCAAAGGGTCAATGGACATTGCTTGTGAGGTCTAGACTCACCACGAGACAGTCATTTTATGGGGTTTAGGCATTCAGGGAAAAAAAATGAATTTTTAAAGATTTTTTAAAAACGAAAATATGAAAAAACGGCCCGGCAGCGCATGTAACAGTTAAAAAAAGCACCCAGCAGCAAGTGGTTAACATGCCCTTTTCTACGACAGTGAGGTAGGATGCGATCCACATGCCCTAATCCAGTTCACATTACGATACGTGTGCATGTATACATGTAGCACAAATGCCCATGCATACAAGTGTACGTACATGTAAAATGCACTCATTGTTTGGAAGTGTTAAATACTCAATACTTCAGAATGAACATTGATCAAAAGGTTCTCAGACGCTGGGATCAATACCACAATTTAAAGATGACGGTGATGTGGAACACACACCATTGTTACACCACAGTAAAAAATTATGCATTTATGTTTTTTTGAGATCATGATATACAAAAATACACATGTACCAAACAGAACATAAACAATGTTTTCGCTGTGGTACATACATGTAAGTGGGGTACATTACCTTGATCATTCTTATGGTTGAAAATGTCTTTTTCACTGCATTATACTGATGTGACCTTGGATACAAGGTTGCATGGCCACAATGGTACTACATTAGTTTAATACATGTCTATGACCACCACTTTTGGTTTACATTGTTTGACATTTTAACTAAGTCAATTTCACCTCAATTTCACAGTAATGTCAGCAGATGACTAGTGTTGGGCAGTTCCAGAATGCTCAGAGCCGGTTCCGGCTCCAGCTAAGGACTGCAATTCCGAGTTAGAACCGCCGCCCAAAGATATAAAGAAAAACATAAGGTTTAATAAAACACATTAAAAATCTGTGGCTGCCATGCCGCAGGCATATCACGCCGGTGCCACTGCACTCACCAATGGCACAACAGACTGGGTTTTGGCCTTTCATGGGCTTTAAGATTATCCACAGCGGGTATATTGAATTTTATTTTTACCTCTTCGTAGACTAGTCATGGCTGGAATAAATCTGCAATAGGCATATACAACCATGGTACAACACAGTGCTGCTTCCTCCTGCACTAGTTTCAACTCTATGTACATGTATAAAAAGACTTTAATCAAAACAACAAACGATTCGCCTTTGCAAGTATATGTAACTTTACCCATAATACAAATGGAATCATTGACCATGGCATGGAACTTCCTGTATGGCTGGGATCACGTGTACTTATTGAACATGTGCCAACGTATCGTAAATGGCCATGGATCATGCATAAACTGGTCATTTGTCCACAGTAGGTGTATTAAAAACTCTGATACATCCACTAACTTACAAGCTATGCCGTTGCTCGGGTCCATGCATGGAACTGGCTCAGAAGCGAGAAGTTGAGAACCGAGACCCTCGCTGGTACACAAGTTCGGGCAATGGCTAGGCTATTTCTTAACCACGTGACGATTTTGACTGGTGTCATACATGTATATGCGGAAAGTACATGTACAACATGTCACACCGAAGTTCCAGGCAAAATTCACCAATGTTGAAGTCACAACCACATGTAAAACAGTCTTCGAGCTTCATGGCTTCCGGCCGTCAAAGCTCCGCTGCGCCGCACATGCAATAACCAATGAGGTTTGGTACCCAGACACAGGGGTATTTTACAGTACAGTTCTTTTCTGTACGCATTTCCCCTTGTGTGGAAGGGTGCCCTGTTAAATGTACAGCGTGCTTTACACATACACGTGGGAGCGGCAGTGACTCGGATTCAATGCTTGGAGTTGTCACTCAAGGGCCCTTAGCCGTAACTGAGACTCAGACTTGATGTTTGAAGTCTGCTCTTTGAATGTGGAACCGCCAATGGTGGGTACCCGTTTCTTCACAAAAGCAGGGCCGCCGATTCTGGGTTTTTTTGGAATCGCGGTTCTACTTGCAACTGGGAGCACTGCACAAGCCTACAGATGACAGCAGTATGGTTTCAAAATGTTTCTCTCTTGTTCCAAAAACAAGATCAAAAATTTGAGTTTTAGTGAGATATCAGTCTGAAGAGAAACACAAAATGTACTGCGAGTGTGCAAATATGGCCGTCAAATTATGCATCCATACAAAACAGGCACAACGAGGGAGATACTGCAGTTTAAGACATTACCAAGGAAAGAATTAGTCGTACGGTATTTCTAGAAATTTCCTCGCAAATTTCAAAACAAAAAAGAGTGCTCCCTACCGATTCTTCAATTTAGTTGAATTTGTCCAATAAACACTGTCAGGGAGACAATTTCAGTGAAATAAAATGCACTGTGGCACGGTAAAATGTATTTCTCTTCATTCCCTTGTATTCATAAAATCTATTACACGTACTCTGGCATAACAGAACAATTGATAGTCTGTTTTGATGGGATCCATGGGTTTGTGCACTGTGGTTCCCTACACAGTAGGCAAATGTACAATGTGCATGGCAGAAGAAATGTGCAAGTCAGACATCAACAAACATGAATATCCCAACTGTACACTGTACTTCCCTCTTTAAAAGTACACACTTTACACCGTTTGTTTTACTGCTTAATTTGCTGTTACAGGTCATTAATTAATGGAGAGGGTGGATCCAGATACAACTTGTGTTTAACACTTACAAACTGACAGATGCAGAGATTCACAGTACGTGTAAAAGCTCTTTTTAAACTAAGACAGGTACTGTGGCACTTTTTGAGCACAGGCTTTCATTGTTCCTATCAATTTCTCACCTGTTTACCCTGCTGTTTCTGTTCACTTCGCTTTGATTGAGTCTTTTCTGGAATAGCATCCCCCGCATCTTTCTTCGTTTCACTGATATCAACTTCCTGTTGATAAAAGTCACAAAAAAGTTTCAGTCAAAAAGAATTCTATACAAGTACACAGATGCTTGTCATCAAGCACACATGTATGCACGATTGCATGTCATCGAACAATAATGCACATGCTTGATAACATGTAGGATTTCCTAAGTGAAAGTACATGTACGTGTATGTGTACTTGCACAAATGCTTCTTTTTCATCTTTTACAAAGAGACGCTTTGGAGATTTTCATGAAGTACATGTATTAAAGCAACTGGATTAATAACCATATCCTGCCGGGGAGCCTGGTTTCAGGTACCTTGGGATTGTACACATACATGTAGCTGGGGTGCCCGAAATCGGACAAAAGAGCCATGGGCCTTGTATAACAAAAGACGGTACTTGGAACAAAAGACAGAGCTGCAGGGAATTGCCAACATTTTTTCAGTTGTCTAAAGCGGATGAAATCCATCATTATTTTGAAAGATTACACCACTGTTTGTGGGATTCAGTGCGAACGGATTACCACTGGGGACAAAAATGCTCCAGCACTCCAGCGATGAGCGATACGATACCGTTGCACGCTAATCTTGGTCTGTATTGAAAAAATGCCAGCAGCACGCACTTTGCCAGTTTCGGGAACAACAGAAACTTATGTAACACCACACAATCTGGGCTCTTCTTACAAGGCGGCAGGCCTGGCTGAAATACTCTGGCATCTGTCAGATTAGAGTAGCCACCAGACAGTCACTCCATGGTGTTTACGCGTTCAGGAAAAAAAGACAAGAATTTTTGAAGATTTTGAAAACTGAAGATATTGAAAAATTGCCCGTATGTAGGCACTGCATTTTTAAAAGCACCCAGCAGGAAATGGTTAAAATGGGTGGTGGCAGAATGTGGTAAATCTCTTTTGTGAGTCAGTGAGATTATAAAAAACAGAGATTCAGCCCTTCAGTGTCCTGTCTAATGTTCACTGTGGTGAGTTTGTATCTAGCTTTAATCATGGATATTGAATCATAATGAAGAATCATTCAAAGACTGGACAGGGGTACACAATTGAAAAGAAATTGTGCAGAAATCCCACGAGCCCTTCAGGAAAAAGTTGAAGTACACATACATGTATAACAATGGGACATCCAATATTGTTGGTATTGACACAATTGTGTATCTTTGGAAGAAACTGTCCTTGTGATTATGGTTCAATATACACATCAAATCCAACTTATAAGAGATGTGCTGGTTACTGCTCTGTGATTATGTCGGGCATTTACAAGTACATAACGACACATCTTTTTGACAATCACCTGTATCAGCAATTCTGATAAACATGTCAACATCAAATTTTGACCCTTACATGCTTTTATGTACTCCACCACATTTAGACATTTCGGGGGCATACACTGAGCATCCAGTGTTAGGACACACGTCGGGCAGGGCAAAAATCCAAAAATTAATTTCCATCTCCCCAGCACAAATCCATCCTTGAAACACATTTAGACAGTTAAGACTAATAGAGGAATTGCACTACATGTTTTTTCAATAGTTCCTTGCCATGTTGAAAGAACTATTACTGAGTACCAACTGCAAGGGGTCTACTGGCCAGAATGCTACTCAGGCTGCATCCGAATCTGTTGTCTAGAGCTAGGTCTAGTTTTTCACTCTATTTTTGAGAGGTTTACACAGGCATACATGTGCTTCACATTCGGATCTTCTTGCACACTAACCTTCCACAATAAGGTTCTAAAAATGCAATCTAACCTCTTGTTTCGATTCCACTTGTATTTTGAGTCTTGATACAATGTTACCCAAGCTGAATCCTTTATATGAGGCCTTGCTACGTTTCTCCGCTGTGCTTGTCTTGGATGGGATCTTGCTTTCCTCTGACATGTTAGCATTAGTCAAGTTTGAAGTAGCATCATGATGAAAAATTACATCATCTTCAGCAAACACCTGATTGGTTTCACTCACACTCCCTCTCTCAAAAGTTTCATCTGTAGCAAGTACATGGATGTTTTCTCCCGATTTGCTATCTTTATCAGGTGATTCACTGCCTTCTTGGTTATATTTCTTATCGTTGCTCTCAATTTCTGTGTCACCAGTTTCAACATCTTCAAAAATATCATCAGATGCCTCTATTTCTCCCTTCACTTCTTCAGATTTATTCAACATTTTCAGTGCGTCATCAATTGTCTGTTCTTTTTGGGGCCCATCTTTCTTTATTTTGTACTGACTGCAATCTATATCTTGTCCAAAAGTGTTCAAGTTTTTAGAACTACTCATGCCAGCACTGCAGCCTTCATCAGTGATTCCAAGTGTGTTTGAATGCATACTATCCACCATTTTACTTTCTTCTATCTTGTCAGAAACAGGGGGCAACAAAATTGAAGCTTCAAATGCCACACATGCACCATCTTTATCATATTGATGGTAATCAATGGGTGTTTCTGTAGTCCTGTTATCTCCCTGTGAGGAGACCATCTCCTTCAAGTCCTGACACTCCATATCATCGTCATGACGATTTTGAGTGCACAGGTTTTCATCATTCTCTTTGACTTGAATCTGATCTCTCAAATCTTCTGCTACTTTGGAAGTTGATTCATTCACAGTATTATTTTGATTTTCATTATCAGAATCATAATCTGATATGACTGAACAAGAAATACCATCCACACAATGAGGAGGCTCTCTTTCTGCAAGTTGTTCACTCTGTTTAACAATGCGACTTGATTCTGAAGTACCAGTGGCATCAACTTCCAGATCTTCCATGACTGCAGAGCTGTCTTCTACAGTACATGCACTTCTTGGTATAGATTCTTGCATACTAACATTGTTTTCTCCTTCTTCACTCTCTGTCACAGGAGTAACTTCTATCTCTGATAGCAATCTCTCTTGTTCCTTTTCTACATTTACAAAAAGTTCATCTTTCCTGTGTGTTTCCATTTTTGCAAACGATGTTTCCCGTTTCCTAGTCCAAACAGCAGTTTGCTCAGAAGAGACGAATGGTGAAGACACATGTACGGTTTGGCACTGCAAAAGGACATAAGAGAACATTAATTCACTTAGTGACACAATGGCATTCTCAGACAACTTTTCTTCTCAGACCAGCATCAGTGTATTGATGTAAAGATTAATTACATAAAACAGGTTTGCCCTTACCCAACGTATACTAAAAAGCCCTGTATGCTCAGTGCTTGTCCGAGAGCTTGCGAAAAAACCTCACAAGCTTACTCGGGTCAAATGAAGCAGCAGGTACCGTTCGCGGTACCCGCTGCTTCATTTGACTCGGACCGGCCAGCCGACCCCGGCAAGCTCGGTGGTCGAGTGGTTAAGACATCTGCAATAGTAAGCAGGAGGTCGTGGGTTCGAGTCCCACCTGAGTAAGCTTGTG